ATCCCATTACAATTTGTGCCACTAGTGTGCTTAAAAGATTTCCCATACCACACTAGAGAGAAAGCCTCAGACCTCACTATCACATACAAGGCCTTCTATGATGTGTCCTCCATTACTTCTCTGCTCCTTGATTACACGTACCACACAGGCCCTTCCTAAATGACTTCTGTGGCCATAAAGAATAACTCACTTAGTCTGGAGATCTTAAGAGTAAATGGAAAAAAGATGCGCTTGCTCCAAAAAATGGCAGTCAGGGAAGAGTTTCCCTGTAGGGTAGTCACAAAGCCTTTCCACAAGTAGATATCCTTCTGGAAAACTCAGCAGGCAACGAAAGCCTGCCCTGGGCCCGTACTTCTGCAGGGCAGGATCACCAAAATGTTTCTGTTGAATGGATTTTTACTTTCTTGATTTACAATAAATGCGTGGTTTTATTTAAACAAGAAACACATTTTTATTATTTAATTTTCTAGATAAGTTTTTGAAAATGATACATGCAATAAAGATTATTTGCAATACCCATATTTGATGCATCATTTTCAAACCACATGGTTTAGCATGAAATTTAAATTCAGCCAATAATTCCAAGGTGACAGTTTTATCTACAAAGCCTCCATTTCTAGTTCAACCAATTTATTTAATGGAACAATTTAGAGCACTTGTTTAAACTGATCCAAATAACACTCAAAAGAAAGTAAAGGGAAATAACTTTCAAATGCAATTTAATAATAGAAACTATTGCTGTTTTTAAAGCAATGAATCGAAGCCTCAAATGTGTTAATTGTACAAGTTCTTATTAAAGAGATTCAAGGAAGATAGCAATGTAATCATTATAAAAACATAAACTTAGATAAAATCCGCCATTTTTCCATAAAACACAGATACACAAATATTAAGACCACAAATAAAATACATGCTGTGAAGTGTAACAGGAGAAAACACTGAAAAATAAGACAAAATTATAGGTTTAAATATATATTATGCTTTAACTCTCACTTCATTGGATTTCCATTGCTTTCTAGACACATTCCCTACAAATATTTCCACACACCTGGTGATTTTCTTTATTATGAGGGTTGAGATGGCAATAGTTAAGTACTCTGCATTTCCTTTGGCAAAAGAAAGCATGATTTATGAGAAAAGAATAAAAATCTAAGAAAAACACTTAACAAATTACTCAATTTTTAGATCAAACTGATTCAGGATAAATTTCTTCCATGTTGCAAGTATGGAAAATGTAGCTTACTGGATAACAGCATGGTATTTTAAGAGAATATCTGGGTTTTCTTCCCTGTTTTTAGTAATTTTGTGTCTGTAGGCAAGACACATAACCTCTCTTAAGTCTTAGTTTATTCATTTTGCAGAGGGGGTAGTAATAGGAAGTATGTCTCAAAGAGTAAGATGTATACCACTGGTGGCATTTAAGATAGCTGGTGTGGCAACGTGGGCAGATTGCTGGAGCTCAGGAGTTTGAGACCAGCCTGGGTAACATGGTGAAACCCCATCTCTACAAAAAATGCAAAAATTAGCTAGGTGTGGTGGTACACATCTGTAGTCTCAGCTACTTAGGAGGCAGAGGTGGGAGGATCACCTGAGCTGGGAAGACTGAGTTTGCAGTGAGCCAAGATCACACCATTGTACTCTAGCCTGGGTGACAGAGTGAGGCACTGTGTTGAAAAAGAAAAAAAAAAGGAAAGATAGCTGGTGTGGTGATAAACTTATTTTTAAAAATGTATCTCAACACAATTTTAATGTGTATGATAAAAATATAAAATTCGTATATAAAATAAAAAAATAAGTAATTTCTCAGGACAAACCTAGCTAGCATGATGGGAATCTCTCTTTCTCAGAGTGTAGTTCTTTTCAGTTGTACTTTGAAATTTCACTTCACTGAACACGAACATTTTAGAAACAGTAAAGAACATTTTAAAAACTAAATGTCAGAAGAAGGGTCTTAGGGTTCATGTGGATTGTGTTAGAATTAAAGGAAATGGTGAGCTATATTTCATAAGGTACTCAGCAAAGCATTGGAATATATTAAAAACTCAATAATTCTTATTTTTCCTTGTGACTTATTGCTGCCATATTACTATAATCCTAATAAATCAAATATACTCCATTTAGCATAAAAGAAGTTTGAGTATCTGTGTATATAGCAAAACCATCATCTTTTACTTTCCAAATGGTTTATAATATGTACCACCAAGAAACCAAGAAAGAATAAAAGAAATGAAGAAACAAGGGGAGGGACAGGAGCTCACAGAGGACAAATAAGCAAAGAGCTGATGAAATTAAATGACATATACAATTTGCCATAATAATATTTTGCAAAATGGCATACGTTGCAATGATTAGGCTAAGTAAATCTGCCTATGAAATTTGAGGAATTACTACACCCAGTGAATAGCACCTATATAATCATATTACATTTTGTCTCAGGACATTAGAAATAAAGAAAAGTTTTCTGGTTATGTTTTCTAAAAATTCTATCAACCAGCCTGGGCAACACGGTGACATCCCATCTGTACTAAAAATAAAAATTAAAAAAAAAAAAAAAACTAGCTTATAATGGTGGTGCTTGCCTGTAATCCCAGTTACTCAAGAAGCTGATGCAGGAGGATCATTTTAGCCCAGGAGGTGGAAGCTGCAGTGAGCTATGATCATGTCACCGCACTCCAGACTGGGCGACAGAGCCTGCCTTAAAAAAAAAAAAAAAAAAAAAAATCCTATCTAAGGCAGTACATACCACTAAAAAGAAAGTCTAAAAACATTTCCTGTAATTTTACTAAGTTCTTGTGAATAGTATTTTTTAAAATAAGTGTTTTCACAAAAAGAAAAGGGCAATATTAATATGAAATATAATACTACTTGGATAGTTCTCTCTTCAATGTATTTTATGTGTCTCCCATTTAATTGCAATTGTAGTTAACATTTTCCTGCAGATAATTATTTCTGAAAATAATATATGCCCAGCATTTTGTAAATATGTTTTGTTCTTTTAAACAAAGTATTCTAAATTTCATCCACCAACACATAAAGTGGCTGTAATATTCTGGTGTTCTAATTCTTATCACAAATTAACCACAAATTTTCTTTTCCCATAGGCAAAGAAAGGACTATGTAATAATTAATCAAAAGAGAGTTAATACCACACTTTAATCCAAATGTCTTTAGTCATAGTAAGACTAAATTCTCTACTGTCAACAGTTCTTTCTGTAAAGATGCAGTCCGGCCATGTTGCCCAGGCTGGACTCAAACTCCTAGGTTCAAACCATTCTCCCAACTCAGTCTCCCAAGTAGCTGGGACTGCAGGCACCTGGCTAGTATCCTTATCCTGTAAGAATGTACTGGGGACAGAATTGGGCACAATCTGGTGAAATCTCAAATATGAGTAACCCAAGTGACAGAAAAAATCACCTAAAGTTTCACTTTGATGGCTGACCAACAGTTTCTTACCTGGAAAATGGGGCTCTGGGCCAATGAATAAGGTAGGCTCTCAAGATTAGGGAGAAAATTCAGAAATGACATCTACTGAGAGTTAACACACAATGAACAAATAACACTGGTTGTCTTGGAAGAGATGGAGGAAACCTATCAATGACACTACGGATGGCCTTCCATATGTATCAAAAATGCAAATGTAGTCACTCAAAATTAATTAAAAAGCAATTTTTCTACTTCTTGCTTAAAATATGTAATACAACTATAATTATGTGGTATGATGAAACAGGAGCTTTTTTACAGAGGTGAATTTACCAGATCACTAAAACTAATTTTTGGAAACAAACATGCAAATGACTTAAAATAACCATCTGGCTTTATCAAATTATTAATTGAATTTACTATAATCAGCAACTGTCCTGGTATTAAAACATATTCTACCTGTTTTGATCTCTGGCCTTCGCTAAATATGCCTTTTCATTTCTCTCTACATAACACTCTCTAATCAGTAATCTCATAAAAACAATGAGAAGAAATCATTAAGTATTTCCAAGAATGACACCCATTTTAAGATTTAACATTTTATATTTAGTAACATTGTTCCTAGTCCTGAATAAATTAAAAGAAAACCCTTTGTGAGAGATAAAAGAAGTACTTAACAATTTGACCGCCTGTAATATGTAAATTTATAACATGTTTTCCTGACAAAAACACACGTTTAATCACATGATCAATTAGCGTATTCATCAAAAGCTTACAATAAAGTTGAAAATTAAAGTTGTACTTTTTTTTTACAGTTTTTAATTTTTTTTAAGTAACAGCTAACAGTATGATAAAAATCATAGAACATTTTACAACATAAATTTAGACTCACTTGTTGGCCCTAAACCATAAACGTTATCATTAGGAAGTGACAGTGATGAAGTTTGTTATAAAATCAAATGATCCAACTCTAAAAATAGTTTAATTTTTATATGATACTTCTGTTGCCCAGAAAAGGAAAACTGGCACATGACTTTTATCGAGGTACAAAGTAAAAGCAAATTTCCCCATTATGATTACAGTATTCCTGTAATATATATCCTATTAAGCTATTGTTGTTAATTCTGCTTTCGCTTTTAATTGCTTAACTTCAAAACACTGTTATAAATAATACAAGCTGTTCTTCTAGCAAATATTTATTATTATAATAGGATCTAGAAGTTCTTTAAACATTTGACAATTACAAGAGGAAATCAATAGCAGAATAGGTCAGAAACAGGGCACTTGGCTCAGTTCTTGCAGAAATGATATACTGTGAACTTATATTTTCAACACTCTCTAAGTAGCAATGCTCCTCAAGTTATGATGGTGTTACTTCTGGATAAACTTATCCTATGACCTTTTCAACTTACAATGGGTTTATCCGGATATAACCCCATCATAAGTCAAGGAGACTAGTGAATGTCTATCACTTTTGCACCATAATATAATCGAAAATCATAAGTTGCACCACCATAAGTTGGAGACTCTATAGTAGAAAAGTTCTGTTGAAAGAGTATGCCAATAAATTTTGTACTTACTTTGCAGAGGCAAAGTGTTTCTAATACACTGTAACTCCAGTTCCTCTGTCCATTCCAGCTTTGGCAGCATCTGCTTCATCTCACAGTTACCATTCTCTGCCATGGACACTGGTTGACTATTGACTGGTATCTTTCCCAAACACTTCATGTGTTGTTGAACTTCCGCCAAGAGAACAGCTTGTATTGCTTCAGTTACCTGCAAGGTATTTTTTTAAGTGAATTATTTTTAGTATTATTACAAATGCTTAGGTATGTTGCAAAAAATCCAAAGCCCGGAATTTAAATTTGAACAGGTTTCCATAAACAATAACTTTTCATTCTTCTAGCATTAGCATCCACAACAACTGAAATGTACAACTGGCACCCAGACTTTCACGCTGTTCTTTTTTTTTTTTTTTTTTTTTGGCAATGCAAGAGATTCTAAAAGGATACTTGAGGGGCATTTTTTTAAAGTCCAGAATGTCAAACATTACACTATGGGACAAAGAGGAGTTTTCAATTATTTTTCCTATTTTCGTTTCCACCAGAAGATAAAGAAAATTCATTTGAATTTATCCTATGGCTCTTAAAGACAAGGTTAGAGCCTCAAACTATGTATAGCTCCAAAGCATTATTTAAACAAAACACTGCATTTAAACTATGCTTTACACAGAAAATTAAAGAAATGACTTTAATAACAAATCTCACTAAATTTTGTGTATACCTATGTGGTTTTACATATATTAAGGTATTGCAAGGCATGTCTTCCAATTGCTGTGCGTGCCCAGTCAAGGACCTACGGTTCGAAGGAGGGGGAAAGGAATACTTGCCACAGAACATCCAACCAAACTCTTCATTTTTAAAATGAAGAATCTGGGGCATGACACCTCAAGGTTACATAGACTTGGTGGACAGATCTTCTGATCCCTGGTTCTGTCTTTCAAAGTACATGTCCACTCAAGATTCTATATCCTCTACCTTCAGTGCAAAGCTAGTGACAGTTTCCTAGACCTCTTCCTGGTAAAAGATGAGGTAAGGTCTAGTAGTTAGGTATAGCCAAAAGAAGGCCAGGAGCTGAATTAGGGAGAGAAAAGAACGGACATGGTTGATATAGACAAACCAGGTACACCTTCTCATTACCCTTCTCCAGCCAATAGTTAAACATTTCATATAGCTACATCCAAGTGCTTTTCATATAGCCACATCCCAGTGCCATAGCATATATATTTTCCCCTCAGAAGTCTGTCCTCTGTCAAGCTGACTCATGTTCCACAATTGCCACTGTCCCCCTCCATTACTCCAGGTCTACCCATAGGCACGTCTAGAGCTAGGGATATGGGACAACACCAAGAGTGGTGACCTAGAGATGCTTTGGCCAAAAACTGAACATGTATTTATGTAAATATGTATTCCATCTCTTTTGCATGTAATGATAGCATGTAAGACCTTCAGGTTCCAGGGACATCCAAGGAGCTTATTATGATGGCAGATACTTGCTGAATTCCTGGGACAGAGAAGATGGTCTCTGACTTTTAAATATAGGAAGCTTCCTGAGAATACTGGAGCAACTTCCTGATTGCCGATTATCTCCCTGCCCTTATCCAGCAGACACTCAAACGTTTGATTAAGGAGTGAAAAAAGGCTAATGAATAGTAGAATATCACTATTGCATACCATGCATACTAACATGTAGTACTGCCTATTTGCAATACAAGTGAATGGTGCTTACTCATGAATATCATGTAATGAGATATTTAACATCAGAGTATCAATTATATACCATTAATCTAAGATATATTTCTGCACATCATGATGCTGGTAAATAACGCATATTAATATCTACCATATGAGACCAGCCTGGTTGACATGGTGAAACCCCGTCTTTACAAAAAAATGCAAAAATTAGCCTAGCTTGGTGGTGTTCACCTGTAGTCCCAGCTACTCAGGAGGCTGAGACAGGATGATTGCTTGAACCCAGGAGGCAGAGGATGCAGTGAATCCAGATCATACCCCTGCACTCCAGCCTGGGTGACAAATCTGGTATATATATATATGTGTGTATATATATACATATATGTATGTATATCACACCAGTATATCACATCAGTATATCACACCACTTCTGAGATGTAAATATAAATTATTATATATGTTTCTTGCTAACATATACTGCTATATATATACCACAGTATTGGTAAACCATGCTGATTTATGTATATCACATGATGGGATATATTGTATTACTTATTCATGATGAACAATTTTATAACACTGAAGTTATTTCATTTTAACTTTGTCATACATGTTATTTCATAGCACTGGTTCGATGATGTGGATAATGTGGTAGAAAGAACTCAGGATTATAAGTGAAAAGGTTTGCATTTCCTATTCCACTATGACAGTTACCACAAATCCAACCTTTGACAAGTCACAAACTTCTCTGAAACTTCATGTTCTCACTTACAAAAGAGTTTGTGATACTGAGAGACATTAGGATAAGAGCTGTCAATAACAGAATAGTGCACGGAAATTGCTCTTTCTATACTCATAAATTAAGGATACTGGACAATATTCTAAGACCCACAATGTGTCCAGACTATATCATACCCCTCAGAATGGGTAGTTTGGCCATATGCCTTCACTGGGCTTATGGCTGTCCTCTCACCCTGGGATGCTTATCACCCCAGAGGCATGCCACAGTTGGGATCTAAAATGTCATCTCTCCCACTGAATATAATATCCTATACAACTTGGATAATCATTATTTCTTAAAAATATACAGGAATTTATGTATTTTAATTTAATATTTCTAATTATTTGATTTACATGTCACGACTTCACTTTTTTTAACTGTTGATTTTTTTACATAGTCGTCACCACAAATGCATATTATAAGAATAAAGAAATGAATATCATCAAAAACAAGTGGAACAGAAATAACTATAGAATAAAATAGATTAACCATGATGAGTAGGGTACTCAGAGCCACAACAGTTAAAAGCGAATACTGAATGGCATCCAATTGGAAAGAAATTCAAAATATATATTTCAACTCAGTGTGAGATGAGAGAAAGGCTGTATCTTCTAAACATGTAATAATGGTATTACAGTATCTGGAATAGAGTGGACACTAAATAAATACTAGTGGAATTGAAATAGATTCTGCAGACTTTCAAAAATAAACTGTGGAAAGTATAATTTATTGATAGTTTATAACTATCAATACTTGAGTCTCTCTCTATAAATGTAGCAGATAGATTTTACAGGTAGTCAATAGAAATGGAATTTTCTCCAACAAAATATAAAATGTTTATATGGCATTTTATATAACTTCATAATTTTAATAATGAGCTAGCATTGAGCATTATGGCTATAAAGCTGTCTTCCCAACATATATAAATAAATTTCTTCCAAAACATAGATATCAAAGAATCGTATTCTTTTATGAGGCAATGTGCACAGATTAAAAATAAAGTTTACAAACTCATTGACTGGAAAGAGTCAGCTACAAATCTGGGACATATGCTTATTAACTAAAGGTATTACTGAGTCCTAGGCAAGCCAAAAATTTTAGTGGTATTCCATTAACACCTTGAAAGAACAAAATACTGTAAAATAGCATAGAACATCATGAGGATGCATAAGAACCCCTGTGTCCTGGTTGTTGTTTCAGTGTCTAGTTTTTTTGTTATAAAACATTTTTCCCAACACTCTGCTCATGCTGACCTTTCATGTCTTTGCGGTGTCTCCCGGAAAAGCAACATTTCTAACTGGAGGCCTAAATGTCATGATGTGTACCCAGTGGTGTTAAATTATAAAATCCAAAGAAATTTAGTGCAGTACCAGAAACATGCAAATTAGTAATCCCCAAACTTTTCTGTTTCTTTTCCAGCATTTATTTTTATATTGATTGTTCAATGTGTCAAAAGCAAAAGAGACAATCTCTAGACAAACTTATTCATCAGCAAAATTAATTCATTCTTCCCCTAACCTTAAAGGTAAACATTCAACTTCTGGAGATAATTTTGCTTGTTTTACAAAAGCATTCCATTTAACCAGGGTTAAAATGAAAGAAAAATTGTCAAGGACAGCTAGAGAGAAAGGTCAGGTCACTTACAAAGAGAAGCCCATTAGACTAACAGTGGACCTCTCAGTGGAAACCTTACATGCCAGAAGAGATTGGGGGACAATAGTCAAAATTCTTAAATAAAAGGAAATGCAACCCAGAATTTCATACCTAGCTTAACTAAGCTTCATAAGGGAAGGAGAAAAAAGATCCTTCTCAGACAAGCAAATGTTAAGGAAATTCGTTACCACTGGACCTGCCTTACAAGAGCTCCTGAAGGAAGCACTAAATATAGAAAGGAGAGACTGTTACCAGTCATTACAAAAACACACTGAAGCACACAGACCAGTGACACTGTAAAGCAACCACATAAACACATCTGCAAAATAACCAGCTAACATCATGATGACAGGATGAAATCCACACATATCAATACTAATCTTAAATGTAAATGGACTAAATGCCTCAATTAAATGACATAGAGTGGTAAGCTAGATAAAGAACCAAAACTATCAGTATGTAGTCTTCAACATAACATGTCAACCCTCAAAATAAAGGGTTGGAGGAAAATCTACCAAGTAAGTGGAAAAAAGGAAAAAGCAGGGGTTGCAATCCTAGTTTCTGACAAAACAGACTTTAAACCAACAAAGATCAAAAAAGACAAAGACATTACATAATGGTAAAGGGTTCAATTCAACAGGAGGAGCTAACTATCCTAAATATAAATACAACCAACACAGGAGCACACAGATCCATAAAGCAAGTTCTTAGAGACCTACAAAGAGACTTAGATCCCCACACAATAATCATGGGAGACTTTAACACCTCACTGACAATATTAGACAGATAATTGAGACAGAACATTAACAAAGATATTCAGGACCTGAACTCAGCAGTGGATCAAATGGACCTGATGTCTATAGAACTCTCCACCCCAAAACAACAGAATATACATTTCTTTCATCACCACAGGACACCTATTCTAAAATTGATCATAATTGAAAGTAAAACACTCCTTAGCAAATGCAAAATAACTGAAATCATAACAAACAGTCACCAGGACCACAGCACAATCAAATTAGAACTCAAGACTAAGAAATTCACTCAAAACCATATAATCACATGGAAATTGAATAACCTACTCCTGAATG